CGCCGACTGCTGGTCGCACACGCACAACCGCTGTGTCCCCTAATCCTTAGGGGTGCCCTGGGTCTCTAGTGCTGCTGTGACAGAAATACCACAAGTGGACGCTTTAACAGACAGGCGTCTATTCTCCTACAGTGTGGAGGCTTTCAGTCCACGTTCAGAGTGCCAGCTTAGGAGCCGATGGCCCCTTGACCCTGGGCTTCAGCTCCGCCTCCTGCTGCCACCCCATGAAGATGGAGGCTTCTCTTCACTCGCACACTGCAGGCTGCTGAGCCTGACAAACCCAGGGTCGACAGGTCAACCAGCACAGCCCCAAGCTTATCCAGCAACATGGCAGCCACTGGTTCAAGTCCCGAAACAGTCCCAAGGTCGGCAGACAACGTGGCAGACCACTGAGATGAAGACCCAGCCAAGTTCAGAATCCAGAGGTGCCAAAAAGCTCAGACCGTTCCTCAAGGCTTCTCCTTATCCACAGGAAGCAGACCACATCCCAAAGGGAGCTACTCAGCTGCTCCAATAAATCCCACCATGGAGTTGATGACCAGTCTCATCACGGGGAATACTACGTCCAGCTGCCCAGCCAAGTGGACCTACAACCTTAACTGACACAAAGGTCAACTGAGAGAAATCCACATAGATGAGACCTCGGCTCAGAGACCCTGCACGGCGCTGAGAGGGGCTGACGTGTCCCCAGTGGGTCCCAGCCCCACCAGCACCACGAATGGTCTACGGCACGTCCCCCTGAGGGTCCCACCCCCACTGGTACCCGAGCAGGCAGCTGGAGGGTCATGACAACAACCTCGGGAGTGTGCAGGTGAGGGAGTCCAAGCATCTGGGCAGAGGCGCTCGGGGGGAGGGGCACAGCTGTCTGCAGGCTAGTGACGGGCCAGCCATGTCCCAATCTGTCCCCTTCTCTCTCCCCACCGCCACCCCCTGGCCAAGCCACCAGCGACTCCCACCAGCAGCCCGCTTCCAGAGAGCAGCCAAAGCAGCCTCCCCTGTCAGACTGAACTGTGTCCCCCAAACCCCGTGTCAACTAGGCTGGACCGTGACTTGCAGAGGTTTGCCTGTTGCGTGATGATGTCCTCATCTCCCATGACGCAGCCCATCGTTCGTGAGGGGGTTGGGGTGGGAGGCCACACCCCGACTCATGTCACAGCCCTGATCTGACATCAGGGGAGTTTGCCTGGGGTGTGGCCCCATCAGTTTCTGTCTCACAAGAGATCAAAGGAGAGAGACCCAGTGGAGAGAGAGGGGCCTCCCACCACTAAGCAGCGAGAGCCGGGAGCAGAGCGCGTCCTCTGGACCCAGCTCCCTGTGCTGAGAACCTCCTAGGCCCCGGGAAGACTGAGGCCAAGACACGTGGAGATCACTGGGCCCACAGATGCCAAAAGGAGACAAGGAGCTCCCCCAGGGCCCACAGAGACCGAGCCTTTCCCAGAGCTGGCGCCCTGAATTCAGACTTCCCGCCTCCTGACCTGTGAGAGGATCGACTTCGGTCTGCCGGAGCCACCCACCCGTGGTACCTCTGTTTCAGCAGCGCTAAGCAGCTAACATAACCCCCACGTAACTGCTAGCGCTTGGCTGCTGACCAAAGGTTGCAGTTTAAGTGCAACCAGAGGTACCTTGGAATAAATGCCTGGCAACCTGCTTCCGTGAAGACCAAAGCCAGGAAACTCTGATGCAGCATGGTCGGGGCCGACGCGACGGCCCCAGTGCACCAACATCTTCCAAACACGAACCACCACGACGAGCAGCACAGCCCGTCAGTCCAACCACAGGTGCCTTCCCAGCACACAGGAATGAGGGCCGAGCTTCCCCGAGCTTGAGGTGCCCACTCTAGCTCACCGCCCCTGCCCAGCCTGCGCCATCCTGACCACACTGTGCCAACCCCGCTGCCTCTCCCGTCTCCAGAGCAGGCCCGGGTCTGTCCCCCTCAGGGCCGGGTCCTCCCTCTGGGGCGCCCTTCCCACGGTCTCCCTACGATCAGCCCTTTCAAGGGGCTGTCCCAGACAGGCTGTGCCTGCCCCTGCCTTGCTCACAGCACCCAAAATGCACCAACAGACCAGACCCTGCCATCTGGTCAGCCCCATGGGACCGAGCAGAACTGCCCCGGGGTGTTTTCCAGGATGCGGCCTTCATGGGAGCAGACCGTCAGGCCTCCCTTCCACAGCACCACTGGGTGGGTTAGAACTGCCGCCCTTCCAGTGAGCAACAGAGCTCGGCCCATCTGCACCAGGCCATGCCGCCAGTGCTGGCCTGCGACAGCTCCCGCCGGGTCCCGCTCCTGGGCGGCAAGCTCCTTGCGATGGACTGCCACCCGCCTGTCCATCAAGACTGAAGAGCCCCACAAGAGAGCAGGAACTTGGGTGCCTTCCTAGCACCCCAGCATCTAGACCCACACACAGTAGGGTTCACTCAATATGCAGACCCAACATACGAGTGACACGAACGCAGAGGCCCAAGGGGTATACACGTGAACACGCTCGGCCACTCATCGAAAACCTGGAGGTTCCCATCCACCAGGAGACAGCTCGGGAGAGAGCCTGGCAATCTACCTCCCCAACCATCAGCCACCGGAGACCCTGTGGGGCAGCTCCATCGAACACACAGAGGCCACCGCCCGTCAGGACTGACACGATGGCCGTGGACTGGCAACCTAAGGGCAGGTCCTCTCGGGAGGAAGCAGGGAAGCCCACGGCCCTTGGCCTACACACGACAGTAACTCGAGGCTTAGCTCCAGCCTGCACATGCTCACACCACAGCGGGCTGGTGGGTAAGCAGACAAGGCCATGGGTCACAGAGACTGGGAGACGAGCGAGTCAGGGGCCTGCAGGATGGGGTGGCATACGGAGCCCGTGTGTGAGAATGGTGGTATCAGGGGCAGGGTGCAGCCCAAGGGGCCAGGACATGCCAGGACTGGAAGCAGCAACACATCCCAAGGCCCTAGGGTGGTGGCAGCGTGGGTCACATGGCGGAGGCTGCAGGGTGGCACAGAGCAGCAGAGGCCTCGCACCCCAGCCCTGCGGGAGCAGGGGTGAGGGCCTCAGGGGAGGCAGGGCTCTGTAGCAGGGGGTGCGGGGCAGCTGCCATGAACAAATCAATAAATCAACCAACCAACAAGGGAACAAATCAGCCCACACATTTGGCCCCAGTGCCACTGTCGTCCCAGCTGGAGCCACAGCAATGGAGTGAACTGTGTCCCTAACAATATGTGTTGAACGCTGTACCTGTGAACAGGAGCCGGGCCCCACAGTGGTAAAGTGCTCGGCTGCTAACTGAAAGACTGGCATTTGAGCCTATCAGCAGCTCCAAGGCAGAAAGATGACGCAGCTGGCTTCCACAAAGATGACAGCCTCAAAGACCCTGTGGGCAGTTCCACTCTGTCCTCTAGGGGCGCTGTGGGTCGGAATGGACTCGAGGAAGTGGGTGTGGTTTGGGCTTTGCTTCCACAAAGATGACAGCCTCAAAGACCCTGTAGGCAGTTCCACTCTGTCCTCTAGGGGCGCTGTGGGTCGGAATGGACTCGAGGAAGTGGGTGTGGTTTGGGCTTTGCTTCCACAAAGATGACAGCCTCAAAGACCCTGTGGAGCAGTTCCACTCTGTCCTCTAGGGGCGCTGTGGGTCGGAATGGACTCCACAGCAGTGGGTGTGGTTTGGGCTTTGCTTCTGTGAAGATTGACAGCCTTGGAGACCCTGTGGGCAGTTCCACTCTGTCCTCTAGGGGTGCGGTGCTGAGTTGGAATGGGTACCTTTTTCAATGGGTACTGCTGAGCAAATAATCCGAGAAGCTGGACTATATGAAGAAAAACGTGGTATCAGGATTGGAGGAAGAATCATTAACAACCTGAGATACGCAGACGATACAACTTTGCTTGCTGAAAGTGAGGATGACTTAAGGCACCTACTGATGAAGGTTGAAAAATACAGTCTGCAGTATGGATTACGTCTCAACATAAAGAAAACAAAAATCCTCACAACTGGACCAATGAGCAGCATCACAATAAATGGAGAGAAGATCGAGGTTGTCAAGGAATTCACGTTGCTTGGTTCTACAATCAATGCCAATGGAAGCAGCAGTCAGGACATTAGATGACGTGTAGCATTGGGAAAGTCAACTGCGAAGGAACTGTTTCAAGTGCTGAGGAGCAAGGATATCTCCTTGAGGACTAAGGTGCGCTTGACACAAGCCATGATATTTCCAATCGCCTCGTATGCACGTGAGAGCTGGACAATGAATAAGGAAGACCGAAGAAGAGTTGATGCTTTTGAGTTGTGGTGCTGGCGGAGAATGCTGAAAGTACCGTGGACTGCTAAAAGAACTAACAGATCTGTCCTGGAGGAAGTGCAGCCGGAATGCTCCTTGGAAGCAAGAATGGCCAGACTTCGTCTCACCTATTTTGGTCATGTGGTCAGAAGGGACCATTCCTTGGAGAAGGATGTCATGCTTGGTAGGGTGGAGGGTCGATGAAAGAGGGGGAGGCCTTCAACGAGATGGATTGACACGGTGGCTGCGATGATGGGCTCAAGTATAGCAGGGATTGTGGGGCTGGCGCGGGATCGGGCAGTGTTTCGTTCTGCTGTGCATGGGGTCGCTATGAGTCGGAAACGACTTGACGGCACGTAACAACAACAACAACAACCCGTGAACATGCTTGGAAACTGGGTTTTTTTTGTCACGTTGATCAGATCAAACCCGAGTAGTGTGGGTGCTAAGCCTAATCCCTTCTGAGTTATAAAATTCACGGGTCAGACAGAGACACACATCCAGGGCCAGGCATACGTGAGGACCATCTCTGAGTCAAGGAACCAAGGCACCCCCAGGATTACAAGGCAGGTGTCTGATCCCGGGGCACCCCCTCAGCGAGCACGTGCTTTCTGTGCAGGCGGCCCCCCGTGGTGATTCTGCCACAGCAGCCCCAGGGGACGCAGCGGAGGACACCTCCTGGTGGTGAGGACAGGTGAGCAATGGCGGCCTCCCCCACGTGCCCCACAGCACTCACCTGTGGCATCCCAGCCACCCCCACTGGAGTCGGTGAAGCGCTGACTGAGGATGTCCGGGTAGTCCTTGAGGAAGTCCACCGTCTTCAGGGGGCTTTCAAAGTGAGCTCCGTCTAGGACACAGCCCAGGGAAGCTTGTGAGGGCCGGCAGGGCCCCAGCCAGAGTCCCGGAGCAGCCGGCACGCAGCCCCGCCCCTTGGAGCAGGGTCCGTGCTGGGGCCCTCCCAGCTTGGCGCCCCACGTCAGGAGGGATCCGTTCATTGTTAGGAACGGGTTTTCCTTCCCATAACCCACAGAGCAGCTTCATGGAACAGAGCTAACCAAGGGGGCCAGGAGGGGGCCCCCTTCTGAGTGCTCAGCCCAGGGCCACCAGCCTCACCTCGGACCCTGGCCGCCAGGAGACCCAGCAGGTAGTTGCCGGTCTGCTGCAGCAGGACGTTGTTGTCCCCTTCGTAGGTGCAGTTTGGGTCATTGTCATCTCGCAGGACCCCCAGGCGGTTCACTGCAAGGGAGTCACATTTGCCTCTTAGGATATCACTCTGTCACCGTGGGAGCATTTACACGTCCCGGCCCCGCCTAGCCTAGGAGGGGAGCCCATTCCACCTGCTTCAAGTCAACCCAGCTCTTAACTGAGGACCTTCTGAAATCTAAGTTCCTACAACTTAAACCCACACATGACCCGTGGGACATATAGTGTCCACCAACAATTTCCACTCTGGGGTTTAGTGGGAAGCTGCTATCCCACTTTCAGTGCATGCTGTCATCTGTGTGAATCTGAAGAAATGGGTCAGTGCCAACATGAGACTCCTTGGGCCATATGTGTGCCACTAATTGTTTCCATCATAATTAGTTACTGTAGGACCAGGCAGTGTTTACAATCAGTAACTCCAGGACTAGCAGTGTTTTGTGCTGTTAAACACACAGGATTGCTATGAGGTGGAGCCAACTCGATGGCACCTAATAACTGTATCAAAAGCCCCATTTCCAAATTTTTTTCTCCCCTCATTTTGTTCAAAATACCTTCCCCTGCTGAAAATAATTGGTTTCAGCAAAGAATTACAAGCAGAAAATAATTCAGTCTTGAAAGGGTTAACACAGACATCGAGGTGGCAGGGGCTTACAGGAAACTTGGGCACAGCCTGGCAGGCGGCAGCCCTCGGGACACTTATCACCGGCATCCTCCTCACCCAGTGCAAAGCTGGCAGCCCTCCCCCCAGGTGCCAAGCCCTGGCAGATGCCAGAATGTTCTCCGGGGAGGAGGCAGCCACCTCAGAGGGCTGCCCGTCCAGCCGCTGGGCAGAGCCTCCGTCCCAGTCTCTTCAGTAGCTCCGACAAGGGCCCGCCCCTCGGCGCTCTGCGCACAGCTCGTCTTCCCCGTTACCCTGAGCCCAGCGGGCCCTCCTTCCAGCATCTGCCATTGGCTCGTTTCCCGGCTGTTCTCCTGACAGTTGGGCCAGTCACCTGCCTCACGGCAACTCCATGCACATCACAGTTCAACTGTGATGCGGTCACTGGCCACACCTCCCTGCCCGGTAGCCCTCACTCGGGAAGCCCCGATGAAACGCCTTAGCATCACAGCTACACACAGGCTCCAGGGACAGACGGGCGGCAGCAGCGCGAGAGGCACTGGCAGGACTCGAACCCGGGCCTCCTGCGCGTACGCAGAGGCCCACCCCCCCGGGTGCTCCTCGCCTGGTGTACGCCGTGGTGCACCATCATCAAGGAGACCCCAACCCTCAGCCACCCTTAGGACAGGGAACCCACCAGGCAGTTTCCTGTGACGGAACTTCCTACAGGAGCAGACCACCGGGCAGAGCGGATGGTGGGTCTGAACTGCCGACCTGTCAGTTCCTAGCCACGCATGTGGTTTACATTATGTGGGACACTGAGGAAAGACCACCCAGGGTAATTCGGGGTAAAAAGAAGCCACGATCAAGTCAACTCCAATTCACTGAGTGTGCTCACAGGGCTTCCACGGCCAATCTCCCAGAAGTGGGGTGCCAGGCCTTTCCCTGAGGCACCCGAGAGGATGTGCATCCCCAACCTTGTGGGGAGCAGCTGGGTGCGTGCACTGCTTGTACCACCCAGTAGTCCTCATGCCAGTTAAGACCCTAATTCTTCCCTACAGTTCATACAGGACGCCTCCCAGACAGGCCCTCACTCACGTCTTCCTCCTGGTCCAGGCGCTCCTGCACTGTGAGGACGAGGTGGGACGAGCCAGCAGGGAGGTGGGACCCCGCCTCACACAGACGAGCAGCCCGTCACGGAACCACAGACAGCCCAGCATGTCCTCAGCAGCCACACTGCCAGGCTGCACTGGGCTTGTGGTCACCTCTGACACCCTGACCTTTCTCCTCCGAGTAGCTGACAAGGCTTTCCCACGCCACCGTTAAAGCGCTCAGCATGAAGAGACTTAGAGAAAAAGCGGCCAAGCGCTATTTTGAACCAAGACCAAGGCTCTACTTCAAGCTTCACTGTCGTCAGTGTGGCTGGTCTCAGGCCAGTGTCTGGGTTTGTGCTGAATCTCCATTAAACCCTTTGTGTTGTCTGCACGGCTATAAGACCCACCATTCTACTCAGAAAACAGGGACTCAATGAAACAGCTCAGAGAGCCTCTGTGAGTAAAATAAATAACCAAGTATCAAGAGCTCTGCTGAGACAAGACGATGCAGAAAGGGGAGGCCTTCCTGTCACCGAGCGCCCACCCCTCCAGTAAGGAGCAACAGAGGCAACAACATGGGGGAGCCGAGTGTCCACAACCGTCCATACGCCATTGCTGCCCGTGTCCCAGCAGGGGGGCCTCAGAGAGTAACCGGGCCACACGCTGGGAGTCAGGGGCCATCACGCAAAGTCAGCAAGCACCCTGCAAGCTCACACAGTGTAAGGTGTCCACTGAGCTTGGGTCCTGCTGTGTGTGTGTGTATGCATGCGTGCCTCTGAGTGGCCACGCTTTAAGGCCGTCATACAGGACGTTTTCAGGCAAGCTACAAATGGCGATGGTGAGAATGACAAGAATAACAGTGATGGCAGACAGCGGTCACTGGGCATGTGCTGTGCACCGGACTCTGCCACAGGTCACATGGACTAACTCGTCTACTCCTTGCACGAACTCACGACGTAGGTATTCCACGGTTATGCCCATCTGACAGACAAGGAACCGAGGCACAGAGAGGTTAGGTAATTTGCCTACAGTTGTACAGCTGGTGCAGGGCTGAGTGGGGACCCGAACACAGACTACTTGGCTGCCTGTTCTCTGAACCACACGCCAGCTGCCTCAATACCAGGCACTGCCAACAACACGAGCTTCCTTTTTCTAAGCTTAGGAAGGGTTTCCTCAAAATCAAACATAGTGCTAAGAGTGTCCGTGCCACACCATTCACCAGAAAGTTGTGACGGAGCTGTGCAGCTGTCAAGGGCGCAATCACACACATCTCCACACGTCATCATTCTCCCCAACTTTCCACCAAGAAACGCCAGGCATTACGTGCAGGGCTCTGTGTAGAGCAGGGTCGGCAGGCATGTTCTGTCCGGGGCCAGAGGGGGGTGTGTTACACTTTCTGGCTGTGCACTCCATGCCAGAAGGTCTCAGATCTGCCACTGTGGACCAGAAACAGCACTAAGACACACACAGAGAAACACGCATGGCTGGAGCCAGGAAACAAAACGGGGCCAGCTGGGTTTGGCCCTCGGGCTGGAGTTTGCAGAGCCCTGCTCCAGAGTCACACAGGAGGAGCAGGGCAGTCAACCTACCGGCCAGGTACCCGTGTCCCCCACACGCCTCCCGGCATTCCTGGATTCCTCGCTGTGCCGTCCACGAGGCCAGGGGCTTGCCGGCCGACACCAAAGCGTGGATCTCGCGTCC